ATTAAGTAGGTCATGTACTAAATGCAAAATCTTAATAAAAGTTATTGGCAAGACTGCCAAAAAAAAAAAAAAAACTTATTTAATTATTTTTATATTACTATTATTATCTATTTATTATTAGTATTACTATTATTATTGTTACCAATGTAAATTGAATTGTTTTTACCGGGGTAGAATTTAAAATTTAAAATTTAGAAAGAATAAAATGAAAATCGGAAAGAAATAGTTTTTAAACCGAAAACGAATTTCTACGTATATTTGTATATAGAAAGTATTTACGATGTTTACATGTGAAAACACGTGACACATAAGGTTTTAGGGTTGTAATAGTTACACAATAAGCGGCTAGGCTATTTGCTCTAAACTTAATTGTCCATGATGGCATCGATATTATAAACAGAATTATATATTACATCAAATACTGTATATGTGTTGTAGAGAGAAGCGTGTTTAACTGTGCGTAAGGACACAATACGTACATACGCACGTATCAGGTATGTACGCATTTACGCACGCACTTACGTACTGTACATACGTACGTACGGTACCTATTAAAATTTAATTTTTTTCCAATAATCTTTTATTATTGTAACACGTAAATAAGCCCAACAAAAATGCAGCAGATCTTTTACAATAAAGAAAAACAAATTCTCATGCTATCTAAAAGTTTATAATTTTCTTTTTTACATACACACGCGCATGTACTTAATTGTTCATTAATTAGGTTAATACTTAAGAAAATCAAAAGTCGATTTCAAAAAAAAAAGATCAATACTGTCTAAATGTGAACTATATCATTTATATATTTGGAAATGAGCTTATAAGATTGAATCTATTATCTATTGTATATCGATATCAATATACAAGCTTACGCAGTTCGAGATTATTAACGATGTAAATATATATCAGCTATGATAAAATGCAAACATGCGTTTTTCAGGCTTTTATTATAAACTCTGCTAGTTGTGATCGTTAAAATAAATGTATCCAGATCAATTTTTGCTCAATATAATCAATATATCAATATAAGTTGAAGTTTTCTTTTTTAAATGACGCAATTTGCAAATATACTTACCAAACTCATTTCATTAAATTAATTTGAAACTTAACTGAAATCAAATGAACTTGTTTTATTTTTCAGTCAAACTTAAATTATATACGCAATACTCAATCAATAAAGATAAAAAAGGAATACCACTTAATTTCGCGATCGTGATTAATCAACATTCCATTTTGGTACTTCTTAAGGATTGATAATCAACATCTCGGAAATTTGTGAACGATAACTTTGAGCAATTCCATTTATGTAAGAATGTAATTTCGACCTTTTTTTTTTTTTGCAATATAAAAAAAATACTAAGCCGAAATCCAAAATGAAAAAAGACGTACGTACGTACGTACTTACGTATGTAGATATCTTTGATCTAGTTTTCCTACGTATTTGGAAAAAGATGAAAGCAAAATTATGCAACATCGCATAATGATCAGACTTATAGGGAAGCTTTCAATATTTTCAATGGAATCGGAATCACCTTTCCGAGAAATAACCCTGGAAAACTTGTTTCATCTCTTTTCAGTAACATGGCTGCTCTTCGACATGGTAGAGATAGGTCATATTTGTCACAGAACTCATAAATTTCAGAAAATCTCACAATACTTTTTTTTCACATCCTCATTCCTGTGACGAAAAAGCTTCCAATCCCAAAATCATATTCCCAATAATAGCAATAATTATTCTTTTTTTATATTTCCTGATATATTCAGTCTGGATACAGAAATAGAAACAATGATAAGTGTCCATTCTACTGACATTTCGATTATTGCTGTTTTCGAAATAGTTGAAAATAGCAATATTTACAAATTTTTTATTTTTATTTTATTTACGAATACTTGAACACTTGATTAGTTAGAACATTGGTCATTGTTTTAGATTAGAATCGATCATCGATCAATGTTCTAAACTAATCGAGTATTGTATTCGCAAACAAAAAAAAAAAAATTGTAAATATTGCTTTCAACCATTTGAAAACAGCGATAAAGGATTGTAAGTTGGAATGAATACTTGAAGCAACAAATGGTTAATAAAGAAATTAAAAATGTCGGTTAAAAAAAAAAACCTCCCTGGTTAGTTGGTATTATATTTCCTAAGTAAATTTCCAAAGTAAATTATAAAGACCTGTTTTCGATATATTTTGTCGTATTGCCGTAAATTTTGTTGATACATCTTTATTCAACTCATCCGCTTTTTGTAGTCTTTGCAACTATCACACTTTTTTTACACTTCTTACACTTTTGTATTTCTTGGCATCTTAATTCTCTGTCTGTCTAACTCAAAGTACCTCATTAATTTTTCCTTCTTCGAGAACAATTGATCGAATTGACGCCGAATCGAACTTTCGCTACTATTAAGAATCAATCCTGATAAAAGTGGAAAATATTATAAAGTGATTAAATAACTAATTGTTCTGTTTTAATGTGAATGATATTATTGGTTGAAGAAAATGAACTTTAATATACGTATAAAACAAACATTGCGCCAACAGGGCAGGTTACGTTACTTTGCTTGATTCACGTGATAATAGTGTATTTATAAATTTAGAACCACGTGAAACAATTGAAATAAAATACTAGTTTCTTGATTTTGATCATTTTCCTTTTTTTTTTACGCATGATAGTCTTTTTTTTCCATCCTTGGACCTTTTTTTTTGTGGATCTTTAAAAGCCACAAATAAGCCTCGAACACTTGGAAAATACTAGTAATAATTGTAGTTTCATCTCGGAAATAAATGTTGTTGAAACCTAAGGATCTAGGCCGTTATTTATTTCCATAAAAAAAAAAAGTACACATTACTTAAAGTATTCGGGGGACTAAGGTTCTAATTGGCTTCGGCTCATTATTTGAGTGGTGCTAAAGATATGGTAAGTCATGTTTTTCACAATAAATAAGGATAGGTTTATCAGGCTCGGCAGTTCGGTAAATGGGAAGCAATTACTTATTTGGTAGTGTGGTGTGTGATGTTTTTTTAATGTATCATGTAACATTAATACGTATGTACAATATGTATCGGTGTTTTTTATAATAAGTTTATGATTTCGGCTTCATTCTACTATCGCTATCTTTTAAAATATATTATAAGTATGTAGTATATAAAATAATTGAATTCGGTGCAGGTTCGGATAAAATAAGATGACAAGTACGTACGTACGTCGTAATATGTAACTTTGTTATTCGTCGCTTCATGACAATATAAAGCAAGTTTAATTTATTTATGTGGTTTATGTGTGGTCAACAATTGATAGAAGCTATTTTACTCATATTTGGTCATTACATACGTACTAGTGTTACGATAATTTACATCACTTGCTGCGTTTATTATGTGAGTGAGACAATAATTGTGATACAATGCGCGAATAAATTCTATGTATAAAAACATGACAATGCCCTTATTTATTGGTATACGTATAGTAATCATGTATCAAAAGAACTACGTACGTACGTACTTCTAAAACAATAGTCTTTGAGAAAAAGGTAAGCAATAGACAAACAATGAAATATACTCATTATTTTTTGTTATCTTTTTTTTTTTTTTTTTTTTTAAGAAAAAAAAGTATTACACCTAAAACCTGATGCAAATTTGGTTGTATTAGATATACTATGTACGTATCGGTATGTATATACTATAGAATACGTATAATTAAAGAAAAGATCTTCAATGTAAAGCGCAATAACGATCAAAAGCAGAAAATGGAAAATTTGATAAGCGGAATAAGATATAGAAATGCGATGTAAGGATTTCTAAATAACTAATCATGGCCAACCATATCGATTTTGAGCCTCTCGCGCTCATTCTTCTTGAAAATGGATTTTGGTGAAATGTACTTCTTTTTTGATGTGTACTAATTGAAAAAATGATTAACAGATCCGATAAGCGAATTAGGTAATTTTATAAAATTCTTGTGAAACAATTACTATTCAACAAATATACATCAATGGATATTACTTCTGGATCTTTGTCTGTCTTAGCGAGACAAGGTCGACACATCAAACTTCCACGATCCAGATTTAAGACTCCCTCTAGCCGTTTAGGCATGGGAACTAAAGCTCGACCTTCTATGTCAAATATTACTTCTTTCCCTTGATTATTTTTACGTTTTTTGCTAGGAGGACCTGAGGTCGGTGGCTTTGTCAGGTTTTCCGTATATTCCTCATGCTTTGGATGCGCACATCGTGAAGGTAGCCGCGGTCCTGAATTACTATCCTTTTTATTCACCTTTTTATGATTGGTTGTTGTAACTTTATTGGCCTCCTTTGGAGTTACTTTGGGCGACGTCTTGGGCGAAGTCGAACTCTTGGTGACCTTATTATTGGTTTCGTTCCCCGTATTGTTTATGTTGTTGTTCATGATGACGGATGAGATGCAAGAGTACCTTTAACTTGACTACTTGTAGATATAAAATTGATCCAGTATTTTAAAAAAATAAAATAAAATAAAGGAAATATTATTATTTATAAATGTCGTTTTAGTTGACAGAATTTTAAAAGACAAATAAATATATTGTCTTCACATGATACCTTTTATTGATTCAACCAGAGCGCAGGTAACTAAAATTTATCAAAACTAAAAAGAACAATACACACAAGGAAAATGCGATTACCTTTTTGGTACAATTAGTGGCTTTGTGAAATGAATATAAAAAAAAAAAAAATTAAAAAAAAATTAAAAATCGAAAAGAGAAGATGAATAATATTTGTCAAGCAGAATTTTGTGTATTTATATAATTAAATTCCGTTATTATTAATATACATATTAAATATATTATTTTGTTTTTGAAAGTGCAATTGTAAAACATCACATGTTTTTTTTTACTTGCTGGCGCAGGAATTTCTAGTTTAATGACAATGGTGATATTTAATGGCTGTGACAAAAAATAAATGTGACGACAGAGCAGTAACACAAAGGATTAAAAAAAGTTCTGTTACATCATACGTATGTACTAACGTAATAGGTACGTACAGTACGTACGTACGTACTTACGTGTGTACAACTATATATCAAATATATAAACATTCTCATTATGTTTAAAAAATAAACTTGCTACGTACGTAATAAATAATTTAAACTAAAAATGTTGCTAATAAATTAAGAATAGCACTAAAGCACACTAGCGATGCTTAACATCATATATTATTTTTATAATTAAAATTTATGATTAGCGTTGTAAAAATAAAAATTAATATTAGAGTTTTTGAAATATTGAATATTTTTACTTAGAACACCAGATATTAATAGTTTTCGAAATATATAATTGTAATGTTTATAATAATTTATTTTTTTTAAATAAATAAAACATGCTACGTATAAAATATATACATACTTAATTTATAATTGTTGGCATAGAACACAATTAAAATGTATGTGTCGATGCTTATATAGGATCTTTGCTAGAAAATCACCCTTCGGGATTTTCCGATCGGGCTAATTCGGAACAGAATGCCGGTTCTTATTCATATGTAAAACATCTTTTCACTTTACTGATTCGACAGTTTATTTAATAAACTATCGAATAAATAAAGCAAAAAGGGATTTACATATGAATAAGAACCGGCATTCCGGTCTAAGCTTTTCCGAATTAGCCCGAACGGAAAATCTCGAAGGGTGATTTTTCTAGCGAAGATCCAATATAAGTTGTTATAGTAGAAAGATTTTTTGTAATTAATTTAGAAGTTATTAAGTAAGGATTTAAGTATAGAAATATAAATTTAAAAGTATAGATATAATATAGAATGAAGTATAATCCAGTTATTTAAAATTTTAATTTTGATAAAGCTTTGAATAAAAATATAAGTTTTGAATAGAAGAACATGATTTTGCTATATAAAGTATACTGGATAGATAGATTTAGTTGGTAGTAGTTTATTAATAATTGTTTCTTGTAAATATCTTTAGTAGCAAGTTTTTTGCCAATAAAATAAAAAGTATTTTTAAGATTTGCTTTAGTTTTGATAATAAAAAGATTATTTTATTGTTAAATAAAGTTTTTAATATACAGTATATTTAATATGCTATTTATTTTGGTTAATTTTAGTTTGAGATAGAATGTGTTAAAATTTAGTTTTTGTATTATATTTATAATAAATTAATTAAATTTAAAAAATAAAGCTATTTTAAATTAATTTTGTTTATCATGGTTTTTAAAATAGTTGAAAATTGCAAATAAACTTTTTTTTAATAAATACTTGAATACTTGATTATCTTAGCATGTTAATTGAAAATTGATACCTAATTTTGTAATTATTTAAATTATCATCAAACAATAATTATACAGGTTTGTTATACTTAATCAACATGCTAAGGTAATCAAGTGTTCAGGTGTTTAACCAAAATGTAATTTACTATTTATATATAAATTTTGCAACACTTATAGATTTTGTATTCAACTTTATTTTTTTTTAAGAATTCGGCAATCTTTCCTCAACTTTATTAGGTTAAAATATTTAACTCATAGGTAAAATATCATTTTTGCTAAAGTAAACTAAAGCACCACCTAAATCACAAGTTTTGGCTAACCCGGTTCATTGCAACACCGAAGTGCCCAAATTACCCATGTTCGATCTGCTATAGTAAAGTTTATCTCAATATCAAAAAACCCTGCAAATGAATTCTCCGATATATCACCAAATAGTATTTACGGCCTATCAAGACTGCCATCTTTTCTAAACCTTCTTCCCCTAGCTTTACGAGCAGAAGGATTCATAGTCTCCAACTGACTTATGAAAAAAAAATACTAACACTAAAGATAAAGGAAACAACACGAAAAAGGGAAAGAAAAAAACTGCCTAAGCAACAAGAAAACAAACAAAAAGAAAAAATGAAACAAGAAGAAAAAGGCAGAAAAAAAACAATCTATGAAAATACTATTATAGCCTGTGCCAGGCACAGTTGTAAAAATTATATACTAAATTTAAAAATCTTGTATATCTCTATTGTAAA